GGGAGAACAGGGGATTGTCAAGGGCAGGGGGGAAAAAAAGGAGACATATTTAATACTCTTTGTAATACTTTAAGCAATAAAAAAAAGAGTTTATTAAAAAAGTTTATTAAAATATAAAAAAAGTAATAGGCCTACTTTATTCACTTTTTTTTACTTCCTTTTTTTGAGAACTATAGTTTGTCATTCTTTCAAGTACAAATGTTGATCTACATAAAAAAAAAACTGGTTCAAAAATATATATATATATATAAAACATGAATTAATCTCAAAATATAAACTAAGTCAAACATATTAAATGCAAAAGATTACACACTATATGACTATATTTATATTAAATGCTAGAAAGGCAAAGCTATAGTGACATAAAGCTGATAAGTCTCACCAGGGATCGGGGAGGAGTGTGGCTCAACTGTAAAAAGGGCGCAAGAAATTGATGATGGAGCTTTTCTGTATCTTTTTAAAAAATTTTTATTGCTTTCAGAGAGGAAGGGAGAGGGAGAGAAAGATAGAAACACCAATGACAAAAGAGAATCACTGATCGGCTGCCTCCTGCATGATTGGTGGACCAAGCCTGCAACCCAGGTATGTGCCCCGACTGGGAATTGAACCTGCAACCTATTTGGTGTACGGGACAATGCTCCAACCAACTGAGCCACCTGACTGTGGCTGGAACTATTCTATATCTTGATTTTTGTGTGGGTTATATGATTCTGTGATCATCCCTTGGTATTCCTGCCCCCCACCCCATGGATACCAAAATTTGTGGATGCTCAAAGCTCAAGTTCCTTAAATCAAATGGCATAGTATTTGCATATAACATATGCATATCCTCCCATACACTTTAAATTGTCTCTAGATTATTATAATACCTAATACAATGTAAATGCTATGTAAATAGTTGCTACACTGAATTGTTTAGGGAATAATGACAAGAAAAGAAGTCTGTACATGTTCATAGAATACAACCATTGTAAACCTAACTACAGACATACTTCAAACATATTGCAGGTTCAGTTCCAGACCACCGCAATCAAGTAAATATCAAAATAAAGCTAGGCACACAAGTTGTTTCACAGTGCATGTAAAAGTTATGCTTACACTATACTGTAGTCCAGCGATTTTCAAACTTTTTCATCTCATGGCACACATAAACTAATTACGAAAATTCTGCAGCACACCAAAAAATATTTTGCATATCCTATATAATAAAAGGGTAATATGCAAATAGACCGAATGGCAGAACAACTGAACAACCAATCAAAGCATAATATGCTAATAATATGCTAAGGCTGCTCAACTGCTCACTATGATGTGCACTGACCACCAGGGGGCAGACAGTTGACTGGTCAACCAGTCGCTATGACATGCACTGACCACCAGGTAGATGCTCCGACCAGTAGGTTCACTTGCTGCTGGGGTCTGGCCAATCGGGACTGAGCGAAATGTGCTGGACACCCCCTGGAGCCCTCCTGTGATCCCTCCCCGGCCCGATTGTGCACCGGTGGGGTCCCTCAGCCTGGCCTGCACCCTCTGCAATCCGGGACCCCTCGGGGATGTCAAAAAGCCGGTTTCAGCAGGCCACTCCCCTTGGGAGGGCGCCAGACGCAGGGCTCATGGCTGGTGAGCGCTGCTACAGCAGCGTGAGCCTCTTCCAATTGGGACTGATTGGGCGCGAGCCCGTGGCAGGCACAGTGGGGCCGGAATGAGCGGGAGTGGCAGGTAGGAGCTGTAGGCGATGTTGGACTGCAGGTTTCGGCCCGATCCCTGCAGGCCACCCAAAGGGACCCCACCTGTGCACGAATTCATGCGCCAGGCCTCCAATATAATATATTTGACTAAAAAAATAAGTATAATTTTGATTCATTCACACCGGATGGCTAGTGTTGTGTTGGCTGTTATCATATTTAAGACATCAGTGCCCCTAACTAAAGAGTCAGGTATAGCATGTTTTAAAAATTCTTGTGGCATACCAGTGTGCCTCTTATGGCACACCGGTTGAAAATTGTAGTCTATTAGGTGTACTAAAGCATTATTTGTAAACAAAATGTACATAATTTAAAAATACCTTATTGCTAAAAAATGCTAACTATTATATGAGCCTGTTGGAAAAACGATTATGATAGATTTGCTCAATGCAGAGTTGCCACAAACCTTTAATTTGTATAAGTTGCATTATGTACAAAGTGCAATAAAGCAAAGCACAATAAATGTGTACTATGCACTCTGTGAGGTATGCATAGTACACATATGCAACAATATATTTTTTACCAAATATTTTTGACCCAAGGTTGGTTGAATCCTTGGATGTAGAACCCAGATATGAAGAGCGAACTGAATACAATTATCAAAATTTATCATATAATATACTTAAAGAGGGTGACTTTTATTTTATGTAAGTTTACCTCAATAAATCTGAAAAATAAATATTTCCACCGAAGCTCTATAACAATTATAAATTATTTAATAATTATCTTGTTTGTTCTGAAGACTGCAGGCTAGAAAGATAAAATACTAGCTTTTCTGCCAATGAGCTTCAATGTATGTCTTAGACATCAAAGTGAAAAATACAAATAAGAAAGTATTTACTTAGAATCCAAGTTGCTTGTAAATTACAACATGGGATGGAAATACAGATTTTGGAAGGCTTAGAGCAGTGGTTCTCAACCTTCCTAATGCCACGACCCTTTAATACAGTTCCTCATGTTGTGGTGACCCCCAATTTCATTGTTACAAATTGAACATAATTAAAGCATAGTGATTAATCACAAAAACAATATGTAATTATATATGTGTTTTCCGATGGTCTTACGCGACCCCTGTGAAAGGGTCGTTCAACCCCCAAAGGGGTCGCGACCCACAGGTTGAGAACCGCTGGCTTAGAGCAATGAGAGACATTTTAATAAAAATGAAGCTCAAGATAAACAGTGGACAGAACTTTGATAGATGGATCACTGCACAAAGGCAAAGATGCAAAGAATTGCATATATAGGGTATCCAAAAAAATGTATACACACACTTTGAATAATTATAAAGGCAGGGTTTATTAAAATACATTTCATTTTCAAAATTGAGCTATCAGCTGTTAAAGTGTGTTTACATTTTTGGGGGGACACTCTGTAAAAAGTTTACATAGGTTTTGCTATGTAAGTGTTAAACTTTATCATGCCTCAAAAATACCTGGAGAACTTGTTAACTACAGATTTATAAACACTGCCTTTATAATTATTCAAAGTGTGTGTATACATTTTTGGGACACCCTATATATACATATGTGAATATATTAAAAAATAGAAAATAAGGAGTTATCCTAATTTATAACTTACAGCTAATCAGTTTATTCTGTATCTTGAAAATAGATAGTACCAGTAAACCATCTTTTCAAATGCTTAAGGAACAAGTCTCAAAATTGGCCCATAATAGTAATATAAAACTTTAAATATTCCACAAACTAGAAAAAAATACTGTGACTAAAAACAACAAAAAAGTAACACCTAAAAAACACATCCTAAAATAGGAAAACAAAAATCTTTCATTTGTAAATTTCAAAATTTACTGGCTTGAACAAACTCTTTGGTCAAAGAGAAAATTTGTAGAATATTTGCAGAATATTCAGAAATATTAGTCAAAATACTGTGTATCAAAATCCACAGATCACATTTGAAAAATGCTTGTTGAAGTTTTAGCATTAAGTGCTTACAGTATTTTTAAAAGACATAAAATAATAAAGTAAGCATTTAGGTTAAGGAATAATCAAAACAGACACATTAGTAAAGAAAACAAATTAATGTATTATAAACAAACAAAACAGAAATAATAATAAATTTGTGAGTTGATTATTAGGAATAACTAAAAGGGAATAAAAGCAAAACTACAAAAATAAAAAATGACTATTTGGAAATAGTCATAGATAGAAAATAAGGATTTTCTTATTTTAATAATAAGAAAATAAAGTCGAGATTATTTTGCTCAACCCTATGCAAATAAATTTGAAAATTTAACAAATACAACCTATAAAAACTGAAACCAGAAAAGACAAAACCTAAACAGAAAAATAAACATAAGGAAAAAAAAGAGACTTGTTAAGATGTTTCATAATCGTAAAGCCCACGGCACAAATTGCTTAGCATGTGGATTTTACTAAACTTTTAACAAATTACGGTAATACTATTTAGTTAAAAATTCCCAATTCTTTAATTCATTAAATTTGCAAAAGCATGACTGGACTTAAGCTACTAAATTCCTAGTAAGTCAAAAGAAAACACAGAAATTGTACCTTCTTCATAATTAAAACCCCTCATATTTTTATAGGATTTATGTCAACATCCTTCACACGTATTTATCAGAATTGCATTTTTCATACTATAAAATGACAGTCCTGAACTGAACTAGGCAACATCATCTGAATACCAGGCAAAACAGTCCTTTCAACAGAATTTATTTTGTGGTTTAAAAAATATTTTCAAAATATAAATCAAAATCCTCTAATGTCAACCAAACTACTTTTGTGCTATAGTCCCTGAGTTGAGTAGTTGCAACAGAGATTCTACGATCTACAAAGTCTAAAATATTTACTATCTAACTTTTTATAGAAAGTTTACTGACCCCTGCCCTAGAGTGGTAATTCCTTCTTCTACCTGATTAGAATTAGGATGTATTGTTGCTCCAGCTTTAACCGAAACTAAATAGACAACTTGCAAGAAATATGGACCTTTGCCCAGCTGGTGTGGCTCAGTGGTTGAGTGTCGACCCATGAACCAAGAGGTCGCCAGATTGATTCCTGGTCAGGGCACATGCCCCGGTTGCTGGCTCCAACCCCGGTGAGGGGCGTGCAGGAGGCAGTTGATCGATGTTTCTCTCTCATCAATATTTCTCTCTCTCTCTATCCCTCTCCCTTGCTCTCCTTCTAAAAGTCAATAAAAGCATATTTAAAAAAAGAAACAAAGATGGATCCTTAAAGGACCACCACAAAGACCAAAGCTACCATGAAATTTACTACTCACCACATAACTGTTATGTGACCGAAAAAGGAACTGGAAGTTATTGTTGATCAAAGCAGCATCCCAGATTTCAGGCTGAGTCTTTAGGACTGTCAGGTTTTAGAGGATAAGGAAAGTGCAGCTCCTGGGGATGCACAAGAAAACTTGTTTATGAAAAAGAACAAAGTGGTGATGACCCTTTAGCTTAGAAGCTAGAGCATACACATACATATGAGCATATGGAATAAAATATTTGTACTTTGTATCTAAGGCCAAACCCATCATACAATTTAAAGGCTGCACTTTCAGAAATGGGATACAGAAAGTAACTTATTTTCATAATTTAGTTTAAACAGAGAAACTCTAAGACTGAGTTCTCAGCGTTCTCCAGAATCACAACCCATACAGGTACTTTTAAGTGGGTGTCACTATGGCCTTGCTCCTTATTGAACAGTCACAGTTTTGAATATAATTTTGAATATAACAACACTTTTCTTATAAATGTGAAGTCACGAACCTTGAGTGATATGAATAAAATACAAAGGAAGTTATTCTGGTATTGTTCATGGCTCAGAGTTCTTAAATTTTCAGAAGCTTAATATTTTACCTAGGTTATGCAATTCTAGAAGTTAATATTGTAAGTGTCTTACAATTATATGGTCATTCATGGATTTAGCAAACACATGTTTTTATCATTTATTGTGATAAATAGACCAGGGTCTCCAATTTTTAATGGGCTGTGTCAGATAAAAGGATCAAACCTACTCAGAAGCCCTTCCATTACTCAGAGGTAAGAGGCTTAGCATCTGGTTGGATAGTGCTATGCATTGATGAAACAGGTAATACAGAAGGGGTAATGGATGGAGGCAAACTGTAGGAGGGAAGAAATATCATTCTGACATTTTGGACATAAAAGAGTTTGAAGTTCCTGTGTAACCTCCAGGTGGGCTGTCCATTGGGCAGTTGGATATATGGATGAGGAGCTTAGGACAAACCTCAAATAGGAGTGGACATTTGTTACTCGTTTGTCAGCTGAAGCCAAAAATGGAATGTTATTGCTCATAGAGTTCTTTGGAGTAAAAAAAGATGATCAAAGCCAGAAACTCAGTAATGCTAATAGTTAAAGGACAACCAGAAACATAAGTCACTAATGGAATTGGAGGGAGGGGGTTGCTCCTTGGTTTTGACTGGAATTATAAAAATGAAAGTAGTATCATGCAAGTCAAGGAAACATTCAAGAATGAGGCAATGATAACAATCGAAAAAGAAAGCAACAGAGCAAACAAAGAAATCTAATCCCCCCACCCCGGTTAAAAAGGGAAATATACCAAACAAGCAAGCAAAAAAATGTGATTCTGATCCCTGCCCTGGATGCTGCAACTCCCTACCCAACAACTATTTTTATTTTCTGTGTAAACCTCCAAAGTTTCTTCATGCAACTACAAATATACATTCTTATCTCCATTTACTCAAAAAAGTAGTATATTACATCAAAGATTGTGCATCTTGCTTTCTTCACATAACAGAATACATTGCAGACTTTTAAAATCTATCTAAAATATGATACATATTTCCATTTGCTCAAATCTTCTTTTAGGTCCTTCATTAACATTTAAAAACAATCTAAATGTAGGTTTTAAACAGTTCTTATTTATCCCTAGGTATTTTATCTAATTTGTTGCTTTTGTAAATAAAATACCATCTTTTCTATAACTGACTATTTTTGTATATATCAAAGCTATTATTTTGTATATGAATTTTTGTATTTTAGTACTTTATTTTTTCATTTTGTTGAAAAATATGTTGCATGATAAAATGCTGGAAGAAAGTGTCTTTGTAGATAGAAGAAAACTGTTTCACTACATTTACAAAGGCCATTTGGTCTGGGGAAAACCTGGTCAAATTAGTAGTCAGATTGCCATGCCAAGACAGACTTTAACTGTTTACTCTGTGGACGAAAAAGGGGCCACACGCTAACCTGACTAGCTCAGGGAAGGCCTGCATGGTGGCCTTGCAAACCTAGAGATCTAAAGTAACCACAAAGGATGGTCTGAAATTCAACTTTTTAAACTAAAAGTAGTTTATGGTGGGTAGTCATGCCCTAGGCCAGTATTACCTTAATTGAGCCTATTGTCTTTTTGTATTTATAATAATACTAGAGGCCCAGTGCACAAATTCGTGCATGGGTGGGGTCCCTCTGGGTGGCCTGCAGGGATCAGGCCAAAACCTACAGTCCAACTCTGCCTTTAGCTCCTACCTATCGCTCCCACTCATCCAGGTCTCGCTGTGCCTGCCGTGGGCTCGAGCCCAATCAGTCCGGATAGGGAGAGGCTCGTGCCGCCACAGCAGCACTCACCAGCCATGAGCCCTGCATCTGGTGCCCTCCTAAGGGGAATGGCCTGCGGGATCGGGCTAAAACTGGCTCTCCTACATCCCCCTAGGGGTCCCGGATTGCGAGAGGGTGCAGGCCAGACTGAGGGACCCCACCAGTGCATGATTGGGATGGGAGGGACAGGGGGAGGACTCCAGGGCGTGTCCAGCCCATCTTGCTCAGTCCCGATTGGCCAGACCCCAGCAGCAAGCTAACCTACCGGTGGGAGCAGGTGGGAGCATCTGCCCCCTGGTGCATAGTGATTGGTTGACCGTCTGCACCCTGGTGGTCAGTGCACATCATAGAGAGCGCAGCCTAATCATATTTTTAGCATATTATGCTTTGATTGGCTGTTCAGTTGTTCGGTCTATTTGCATATTACCCTTTTATTATATAGGATCTCTTTAGAATGTCAAAGTAATTTTCCTTTTTTCTAGACCCCTCAAAGCACAGACACTGCTCTGGGGAGACCACAAATCTCCTCATTGTTACTGAGTTAATTGACTGTTAACTATCCTACACCCACCTAAGTAAAATCAGTACGTGTATCATTTTACTTTTTATCCAATCCCAGAGGTTTCCCCACTTTGCTTTCTCCTGCCTCCCTAATCTATCACCAATTGATTTCACTTACATCTCCTCTTTTTATTATAATGTATAAAACAGGGTGCAAAACTGCCATTTTCAGGAGCATTATCTCAATCCATTGAGATTCTGCTTCCCAACAACTATTGACAGTTTGGCTCAAAAAAACTCACAAAAAAATTCTTCACAGGTTTGAATGTTACTTATGTTAACAACTTGATCTCTGCACAGAACAACTTGCTTCCTAATTCTGAGCTGTCTGTACAAGTGTAAATGACCAATTAAAGCTATTCCTTAGTCCAGAGCTTCTCAAAGCAGACTCACCAAAGTTCCTCCAAAGAATTAAGAAAAGTCAATACTTATAGGAGAATTTAGACACCCAGTAAAAAGTTTTTCGGGAATCTTTCCTCTTAAAAGAAAATTAATGCTGATTTTGTTTCTACACCACAATGAGCGTGCTTTTATGTAAAATTGCTTTAAAATTACTCATCGCTCAATTGCTTAGCCTTTTTGTTATCTTTCAGAAAAACGGATTCTCCAGAAAGATGCATTCTCGCAATTATTTTAGAAATGGGAAAAGTGAGGTTTAGAGGTTATTACCCCACAAAACTCACATGCCATTCATCCTCACAAACTTGGAACTACACACTGTCTCACACAGGTTGTAACTACAACCCCCTCACACCCTCTTACACCTTTCGTCACCCACCCGCGAGTCCTCCCTTTTCCTCTAGTACCCCCACCTCTCCAGATAAGCTTTGAACACTACATGTCACAGTGGCAATTCTTCCCCCTCAGCCTCCCCAGTCCCGTCGCAGACACCGCGAATGCTCCCTTACAGCCTCCCAGCCCGATATTGAGCTCAGAAACTCAGGTCCCACAGCCAGATTCGCGTTTGGCGGAACCAAAAGCAAACTCACCAGCAAACAAAGACTGCGATGGCGAGCCGGAAAGTCTGCGCCTGCGCTTTCCTTGGGCTCCCACAGGTCTCCTGGGCTCCGCCAAGCAGGGGCTCACGATCGGATGGAAAACAGTTGACTTTTCTGACTGTGGACTACATTTCCCAGAAGGTTCAGAGGCTGGAGACTCGGAACTCAACACTGCGTTAACTGTGTTAACCTCTGGGAGAGGCGGTCGTGTGCCTGGTAAGCTCGGTTCTAGCACGCCTGGCTGTCCCCAAGTCGGAGCCACAGTGCGAGGCCCTGCGAGGAGCGCCAGAAGCCTGCGGGACGCAGGTCTGGGCTTTCTTTGGCCTGACTGAACCCGGCGCCACCTAGTTTATCGCGAGGGCTTCGCTGAACTACATTTCCCAGGGGGCACACCGCTCCTCCCCACCGGGAGGTGGAATGTTTGGGCAGAGCTGTACTGTTACCTGAGCGGGTTGGCCTTGTGGCTAATGCGATTCCGGGGATACAGAAGGTGACAAGTACAGAGGCAGGGACAGTGACTGAGTATTGTTTGTTCAGGCAGAACGGTCTGAGAGGATTAATTGTGAAATTATGTGTGAGACTGTGTCCCAATGATGTGTTTGTGATTTTATGTGATACTGTGTGTGCGGAGGTGAGGAACTTTGGTGCGGCTGAGTCCACACAGTATGATTGTTAATGTTTGACGGCCTGTAACTATGTGCGGGTGTGGGTTACCTGTGGCTGTGCCCCTGTGGTGGGTGTGTGACTGTGACTATGTGACCATGTCTTCCTCTTTGTGTAGGTATAGAGAGCTTTGTGGCTGTTCTTTGGTGACTGAGGCCCGGTGGGGATTGTGACCCAGCGGTACTGTGTGTGTGTGTGGAGGGGGTGGGGGGGGAGTTTTGTGACTGAGGTGTTACTGTGTGTCTGATGGTGGGCATGTGACTGTGCAGCAGTGTATGTGTGGATTTGGGAAGACTGTCCATTTGTGTTGTAGACTGTGTGTCACATAGTCATATGTGGGAGCACTGGAGTTGAGTTCGAAGCCCTAGTCTCCTCTGATAGCACTCCCCTGGTCTGGGAAGGGAAAGTGGAGCATCTGGGTCTCAAGAAAGGTCTGTTGTCTCGCTCCCCATCTTTATCCTCCCAGTGAGCTCTCCGGAGGAGGAAATAATTGTTGTGACAACTAAAAGTTATATTTAAGCCCTACAGGTGTG